AACAACTGCTTCTTGGTCTAGGTACAGATTTCTCAGAAGTACAATTAAGTGTTCTGGAATACTCATACTTCTCAATGTTGTCCATAGCTAGTCATGATCGACACAATCGAAAGCTGTGTTCACATAGTCAATAAAGCACAGGTAAACATCCTTTCTAGAGTTTTATAAACAAAAAAAATTAAGTATTCACTGCTAAACAATGAAGTTTTAAACTGCTTAAGAAGTCCACTCACTATAAAGGTTTGTATAAGAGCCCATAAAGACTATATTCTCCATCCTACTTTGGTGAGTAGTGTCTGGGATATTAAAAGTTCATGAGCAGCCATCTAAGGTACAGCTATTGGTCTCTCCATGTATAAACGAATTAAGAGTATAAGAATTGAAGATGCTTGGGATCCATCAGTCCAATGGGCTAACTAATGGGACATGTAGACATCAGTCTCCATGACTCTTTGACCAGAAGAACTTAGATGGTACCCACCTACCACTACTGACTGTCTGAAAAGGGTCACATTAGAAAGTTCCAGATAGAGCAGTAGAATACATGGAACAAAACTAAAAATTATTTAAAAACAACAAAAACTAAAAATAATGGGATTACTGGTCAAAATGAGATTATGGCCATCAACCACCCTTCAGGTCCAGAAGAAAACTCACCCTTGAGGCCTCTCAGCCAAGCCCTATATACAGGGGGAACAACACAAGAAAGTATGCTCACTATGAATGCCGGAATCGTCAATCATTCCAAATTAAAAGTTCACCTTGTCCCTAAGGACAATAGCGAGAAGGGATGGGAAGGCAGATGGAGTGGAAACAGGAACCACAGGGAGGAAGTGGGAAAACTCTTGTTGCATGGAGGGAAATGCAATCACTGAGATGAAACAAAGTGTATGATTTGTTGATTGTAAAGCTGATGATCTTGTTTGTAAACCTTCAATTAATTCTCAATAAAAAAGTTGCCAAAAATAAAAAATAAAAAGGTTTCTATAACATTTTAAAATATGGAATTTTAAAAACTTTGAAATTTTAAAAATGTCTTAGTGTGGATGAATCTGGGGGACATTGTTGTTGTTGTTGATGTTGTTAAGTGCTGTCAAGTTCGTTGACTCATAGTGACCCTGTCTAGGGTTTCCAAGGAGCAGCTGGTGGATTTGAACTTTTGACCTTGTGGTTCAAACCAACTTTGCGGTCCAGTGCATTATCCTGCAGTGCCACACCAGGACTCTTATGTTGAATGAAATAAGTCAATCACAAAATGACAAATATTACATGAGACCACTCACTATTATAAAGTGGTTTACACACAGAAAGAAACATTATCTGATGGGTAGCAGAGATGAGAGATTGGGTGAATCAATAACTAGATAGTACACATATTGATTCTCATGAAGAAAAAGGCAATACACAATATGGGGGAGTCAATACAACATGACAAAGGCAAAAGGAGACCCTGAGAGGTCTAAGAATAAAGGGCACCTGGCATGGCACTGTAGGATAAACACTCAAGTGCAGGGCCAGTTTGAACTGCAACGTTGTTGTGAAGTGCTGTTGAGTCGATTCCAACCCATAGTGACCCTGTATAGGGTTCTTGAGGAGCAGCTGCAGGGTAGGAGGTTCAAAATCATCAGCTGCTCCTTGGAAACCCCATACAGTGTTGCTACGGATCGGAACCGACTCAATGACACTTAACAATAACAACAACATGGTTAATGCTATAACATATAAAATCATGTGGAGTTCTGGTGTGGTGCCATACGGTAAGCACTGTGCTGCTCACCATAAAGTCAGCAGTTCAAGCCCACCAGATGCTCTTAGGAAACCCTATGAGTCAGAACTGGTTCAATGGTACTTAACAATTCTGCAAGAACAGTAATAACAAATAACAATTTGTGAGCAGATACATAGGTTGTTGTTGGTGTTAGGTGCCATCAAGTCAGTACCGATTCCTAGTGACCCTATGTACAACAGAACGAAACATTGCCTGATCCTGGGCGATTTTATTGTTGTTGTTGCTAAGTGATATGTATGTTGTTAAGTGAGGGAGCTCATATGGGCTTGCACCTGCATACAAATATGGAGAGGCTTCAAAAAGACTTCAAAAGGCTTCAAAAAGTGGAAAAATAAAATTAAAAGATAATAGAATTTTTTCACAATCATTTTGAGGCCCCTTGTATGGGTATGGGTGTGAAAATTACTACATAAATATTTTTAAATGCTGCATATATATACTCAACTAGAATAACCAACTAGCGGAGACCACAGACAACTTTTGCCCCAAAACAAAAATGAGAAGACAGTGAAGGGCAGGGATACTGGACAGATGGGAAACGGGGTCCAGGTTAGAGAAGGGGAGAGTGCAATCAGAGTATCAAAAGGACGCAGGTGGCAACTTGAAAGTTTCCCATTGATCAAAGATAGGACCATTTAATAAACACAGATATGTATATAAAATACAAGAGTTCAAATAAAAGGAACATTTGACTGCCCATGCTTCCAGGGTTGTTGTTGTTAAGTATCACTGAGTCGGTTCCAAATTCATAAAGACCTTGCATAGGTTTCTGAGAAGTAGCTGATGGATTTGAACTGCAGATCTTGCAGTTCACAGTCCAGTGCTGATCCTACAACACCACACCAGGAGTCCATCTGCTTCCAGGAACCAACTTATTATTCTAAAAACTGATACATACAGGGGAAAATCAACTATCTTTCTTTTCTCCACAACTTGTATCACAGCTCGATCCGGACAGCTCATGAAGGAAGGTTATTCTTTACAGAAGCCAGGATTATAAATAAATAAATATATACAAAGAGAGAATCATCAAAACCACAAGGTAAGTGGTTCAAACTCACCACCCGCTCCTTGGAAACCTTCTACAGTGTTGCTGAGTCAGAATCAAATCAGTGGCACTTAACAACAACAACACAGCCCTAATGAAGTAAATGATTAACAGTGGCTACTAAAACCATTAGATAGGGAATATTCTGTTAATGAATCAGGCTGGTAACCCCTGAACCCACTGATCAATTTTAACATCACTGAAATCGGGACAAGGTCTCCTAATTTGTTGTTGTTATTGCTGCTAAGCACCATCATGTCAGCTCTGACTTAAACTTGTATAGCGTTTCCAATAAGCAGCTGGTGTGTTTAAAAAGCTGACCTTATGAACTTATACAGCCCCACACCAGGACTCCAGCACTCCTAATGATATAGTTTTAATAAAATAAAATAAAATAAATGGCAAAGAAGTCATTCTGAGGACTAAGATGCACTTGAACTAAGCCATGGTGCTATTGTGGTTTCAATTGCTTCATATGCTTACCAAACCTGAACAGTGGAAAAGAAAGATGAAATTAGGTCTTTGAGTTCTAGTGTAAGCAAATGTGTGGGACCATAGAACAAGTGCTTGATCTCAAGGCTGGTTTGAACCGCAAGGTTGGCGGTTCAAGCTCACCAGTCAATCTTCGGAAACCCTGAACAGGTTTGCTATGAATTGAAACTGACTCAACAGAACTTAACAACAAAGCCAGAACAAACAAATTCATCTTGGAAGAAGTACAGCCAGAATGCTCCTCAAAAGTGAGGTTGGCTAGACTTGATCTCATACTTTGGCCATTGTTCTCAAGACAGATCCGTCCCTGCAGCAGAACATTATATGTGGCTTGTGAAAAAGAAGAAGACCCTCAATGAGGTGGGCTGACACAGTGGCTATAACAGTGGGCTCAAGCAGAGCAATCTTCAAATGAAGGCCTTGAAGATGATCCCCCTGGGTCAATATCAGACTAATAAGTTTTGTTTCTGGATTTTTGTTTTGTATATTACAATTATAATGCAAACATACAATCCAAATACAACACTTTAAAAGGTCACAAGTATCTAATCCTATTGTTACATAAGTATTTTATTAGAAACTTACAAAGCAGCGGAACTGAAGAGCACGTTCCTTTCATTATCATCTTCTTGAAGCACTGAATTTATTTTCTTTCCTGTAGCTTTACTTAAAGATGTCTTCAGTTTCTTAGCTAGTTTTCTTGGAGTGTTGGTTATAGAAGATTCTTCTGAACAGCAGCTGTATACTTCCACCTTGATCTGAAAGTCTGGCCCGGCTTCATTACTAAAGACAAGAGCATTTACAATGTTAGAAATTTAACTCAGTGGAAAATAAAATCATAACATTCTTTGATGTTTTCATTACATTTAAAATCACTATTTGAAAAAAGTTTATGTTAATATACGTTAATGAGACAGGAGTTTCCTATGTTTATTTAATATCTAATGGCTTGTAGTCACTGCAACTTCCAGAGCCATTGGGTTTCTAAACTAGGGCACTCTTGACTCCATTTAAATAAAACTTACAGGCATATTAATTGATGAGAACGAATAAAATGCCCTGGTCAACATGCTACTAATGTTACTTCTCCTTGCAATGCTTTAATATTGCATTAAGGTATTTACATTTTTATATTAAGGTATTTACATTAAATATGTGCGTGATTTCCAGCAATGGTTATTCTTCAAAACAAAATTTGCTTAAATGTTTAGTTTTCATTTCTTCTTCATAAAGAGTAATTCATAAAGAATAATTTATAGCTGCCCCAATATACTTTGTACCAAATAACTATAAAGAAAGAACATTTCACTAGTTGGTTATATTAACATAATATTATGTTTTTCATATAGATAGTGATATGAACTCGTATTTCAATGCTAGGGTTTAAGAATACAGGGCTGTCTTGGTAATACTGGATTCTTAACCTAGAACTGTGTCTATGAAATCGAAGGTACTCAATACATATTTAATGAATCAATATGTAGAAATTCTGCTACTTTAGCAAGCAATATAGTTGCCTTTGATCTTTTCCAGACACAGAGAACCATCTTTACCAGAGAAGACTGTTGAGGTGTTACTAACAATGAAATATACTCCAAACCACAAAAGATACCCATCAGCAGCTGTTGTTGCCTACAGACAGAAGGTCCATCAGGCTCTGAGGTTCTGAAAATGCAGGATGCACTTTTTAAGATTTCAATGGCCAATCTTATACTTTGGATAAATCCAAAAAAGAGCTTTCAGATATTGTTATAGTTTACTATTTGGCAACTTTAAAACATACAGTATTCCTGGTAATGACTACCAAATGTCAATATTTAGAGGAAAACCAGAGATTCATAAATATTGAATACTCATTAAAAGAAACAATCATCATAACAAAAAGCACATTTTTAAACATTTAAAACATTTGTCAGCAGTTATTTTTAAAGCAATTTAAAATATTTACAGAATATTTAAAAAATTATAAATCATGTGTTTTTCTTACCAAGTAATCTGCATTGAATTCCCTGAAAAAAAAATTCTGATTTTCGTTTTTGTGATAAACAATAGCAAAATGAAAGAAAAAGTTTAGTAACAAGATGATTTGGGGGAAGAAAATCTACTAGTAATAGCTAATAATGGAAATAAATGTATTCAGATATTAAGAAAATACATTTTTTTAGCCTTAATTATCTAAGCATTTGAGGAACATTCTGGGAATTCTAACAAAGCCCTTTGGTACAATATAGTTGGTAAGAAGCTCTCCAATACTGCTAATAAGACAGAACAATTCATTTTATTTTCTTTGCTACACAATTACTATGGGACACTAGACAAAAGCCATAAAATATGGTTTGAAATAGTGAGTTTTTTTAATGTTATGTGAGTAGCAAATCTTACACTGTCAAATCACAACTATATAGTTCCATAGCTAAATATGAAAAAATATATATATGATTTTATCTTAACAGTTCAGTAATTAACATTTACACTTGAAGATAGTGAGTGAAACCCTGAAAGACAGACAAAAATTACAAACTGATTCTAGGCCAACTGAGCCAGTGAAAGAGGCCAGAAAGAACTTATGTTAGTTAAAAATTATTTCTATGGCTATCTTAGGAGTTCTTTCTGGTTCTGTATTATGACCACAATAAAATGAGCCTGTAAAAGAGCAGAGGCAATAAAAACAGCCCTGAGGAGCACCCACTTTTTTATTGTTTTGGAGTACATGAAAGAAGTGCACTATAAGAAATAAGAACACACTGACATTTCACTAAAGTGCCTCTCCTATGGTACATATTTCACTCCTGCCTTGTAAATGAAGGTATTATATGATCTTAGTATTTCTGTAACTAAATCTCCTATATGAGACGAAAGAGCCTATTTTGTGTTCAAATTCACTCTATGTTAAATAATGTTACAGTGAGGTTCCATTTCATTTGTAGTTTAGGTAAAACTAAACTACATATCTTTGCAAAACTTATGTTTATCATATTTACTACTAGTTCAACTATAAGATTACCATTGTATTTTATATAAAAAAATTCCAAATGTACAAAAGAGTTTCTTTTAAATTAAGTAATTTTCCAAAAAATCACTGTAAACGTTTAAGATTTTAATGCTTTCAAACGAACCCAAAATCCAATAGTTATTCCTTCCACTTCTAAAAATGTTCAATTTTTTATTACTTTCATTTTCTGAAGATTAAAAAAAAAAAAAATACTTACAATATAGTTACATTTTCAAAGCATAGATCTGTGATTGTCTTATCCACAATCACCATATCGGTGTCAAAAACTTCAGCTCCCATTTTGAATAAACAAAAAATGGCATAGCGCTGTGATTCTAAAAGAGAAAAACATTTTCAGCAAAGATCCATGTGGTAACTCACCTATGTTACATTAAAACCTACTTGAACATGAACAAAATAGTTTAAATATTTGTTAATAGATTCTTAACTTTCACATACTGTACCTTACAACTCAACTTTTTATAGTGACTGCTCTGTAAATAAACAGCACTACTCTACCCAACTTCTTGTTGTTAAGCACCGTCAAACTGTTTCCAACTCATAGCAACCCTGTATAGTGTCTCTGAGGAGTGGCTGGTGAGTTTGACTCACCGACCTTGCAGTTTAAATCAAGGTGGCAGTAGAGTGCTTATCTTATAGTGCTATGCTGCTCTGTCAATAAATAGAAGTATTTCACCCAACTGTTGTTGTTAAGTGTCAAGTTGGTTCTGATTCATGTTGTTGTTTTTAAGTGCCGTCAAGTCAATTCTGACCCATAGCGACCCTATTTTTTAGGGTTTCCAAGGAGCAGCTGGTGAGCTTGAACCACCGACCTTGCAGTTCAAATGACTTTGCAGTCTGATGCATTAGCCCACAGCACCACACCAGGACTCCATTAATATACAATGTTAACAGCCATTTAGTCCAACCTTAAAGAAGTGGTAATTCTACCATGTCAATACAGTCTTTATTACATTAATAACTAATGAAAACGTATATCTTTTAAAGACTTGTTGTTGGTGTTAAGCACTATGGCGTCAATTAGGAAACAAAAATGTCAGAAGGAGTCAAATCAGGACTGTTAGGTAAATGCCTACGGATTTCCCATCAAAACTCAAACAACTGCCCTTGTGTGCTGAGAGGAACCAGCAAGAGTCTTGTTGTGTTGGAGAAGAGCTCTCTGGTGAAGCTCTTCTGGGCATGTTTCTGCTACAGCTCTGGTTAACTTTCTCAGAGCACTCTCATAATAAGCTGATGTCATCATTCTTTGGCCTTACGGAAATTTAACGAGCAAACTGCCTTAAGTATCCCAAAAAACAGATACCAAAATTTTTGCTTTTGACTGGTCCCCTTTTGCTTTGACTAGGCCACTTCCATCTCATGGTAGTCACTGCTTTGTCTTCAGGAGCATACTGGTAAAGCCCCATTTCATCTCTTGTTACAATTCTCCAAAGAAATGCTTCATGTTCTTTACCCTACTTGTTGAAAAATTTCCACTGAAAGCTCTGCTCTTGTCTGCAACGGCACAGCAGTTCTGACACTCATCAAGTGGAAAGTTGGCTCAACTTTAATTTTTCAGTCAGAACTGTAAAAGCTGCCCCAATTCAGGTAGCCATGGTGCTGGCTATTGCTTCTGTAATTAACCATCATCAGTCCTCTTCAATTAGCACAGGATTAACATTGTTTCTTCACAAATTGATGTGGATGATCTCACACTGGGAGCTCCATTTTCAATATAATTTCATCGCTTCTTAAGACAAGTTATCCATTTGTAAACTGCTCTTCATCTTGGGGGCACTGTCTCGATAAAATTTACATAAAGCATCAATGATTTCATTATTCTCCCAGTCAAGCTTCACCATACATTTGATGTTTATTCTTGCTTAAGTTTTAGCAGAATTCATGTTGCTACGGGGCTCTTTTCAAACTGATGTCTTTTTATCTTTCTTAATGCTTCACGCTAGATCCTGTTCAGACATGTTGTAAGGAGTTAGTAAGAGTTTATTTTGGTGCAAAAAAATTTTGGAGCTCATGCAGTTTTTTCAAAATATGCATTTTCCAGAAACTTTCTGAAGACCCCTCATATATTACTTACAGAAAAAAATTTAAGTTTAACTAGTAGCAAATGTATTATTATACACATAGTATTACCTTTGTTGTTGTCTATTTAAGAAAAGTAGTTTTCTATTAGAAGAGTAGGCACACTAAAAACAGCAAAACAATTTCCAGGCCAAAAACACATCAGGAAGTCACACACACACACACACAAAAAAAAAAAAAAACAATAAAAAGTAAACATGGGGATATAAAAAAATCTTAGCTGCTGGGCCCTTTAATATGGTGATATTTTTAAAAATAGGCAATTAAAGGTCTAAATCCTCATTATTATGAAAATAGAGCACCAGAAAACTGTATTCTCTTTAGTTATCAGAAAGATTTACTTTAGTCCCACATTTATTCCTTTTAAAAGTAAATTCTATTTCTTAATTGAATAACAAATATACTAAATTGATTTTGTATTCTTCATATAAAACTAATTATGCTCAATATGATTCCATTTTTAAAGCAAGAAGAACAAAGCTATTACAATAGACAAGACAGGTAAAGGAGTTTCCAATCTTTCCTGCTTTGCCTCTAAAAGCTAGAAATAATTTGAGGTTAATTCCCATAACCTAAACAATATAAGAAGTTATAAAGACTATACAAAGCTAAAAAATGTTGGGAATAGGGGGAGGGGGGGTCTTTCCTTACATCCTTTTAAATATTCAGAAGTACCAAAACAGGGCAGAAAAAAGATCTCCCAGATTCTAGTCAAAAAAAAAAAAAAAAAAAAGAAAAAGAAAAAGAAAGGTTTCCTCTACTTTCACTCCTTGGAGTCCTGGTGTGGTGCTGTAGGATAAGCACTGGACTGCTAATTACAAGATCAGCAGTTGAATCCACCAGACTCTCTTTGGAAACCCTCTACAGGTCTTTATGGGTCAGACCAACTTGATGGCATTTAACAACTTGTACGCCTTAGACTTCTTTTGGCTCTGCCCTCCCTCCCACTACATGTTGTAGACAGTTCTGGATCAGCAGTGAGAGTACAAACCAAACATATCACTATCAAGTCACTTCTGACCCACAGCAACCATAAAGGGCAAGGGAGAACTGCCACATCTCTTCCCCATGGAGCGGCTGGAGGATTTGAACAGCTGACCGTTCTGTTAGCAGCCAAGCACTTAACCACTGTATCACCAGGGTCCTAAAAGTACAACAGATTTAAATGATCTTAATTAGCATCAAGCAGCTATAGCATATTTCTATTGAAAATCAAAAAAAGCCAGTTCCATATGGTTCTCCATATTCTCTTATTAAATGGCACCAATTTATTACAGTATGAAAACAACTGGGGATCAGCAGTTCAAAACTACCAGATGCTCCGTGGGAGAAAGATGAGGCTTTCTGCTCCCGAAAGGATTTACAGCCTCGGAAACCCTGTACAGGGTCGCTATGGGTCGGAACCGACTTGACGGCACTTAACAACAACAACAAATCACAAATTTACTATGCATTAAAGAAAACATTTCATTTGCAAATTAAAATCACACATACGTTCTTTATTGCTGAAGTGATCAGAGTCCTTCCACATTAGTGGTATTCGGATATCTATAGAAAAGGAAAAGAGAAATGATTAGCACAAATTTTTTCTAAGTTTTAGTTCTTAATCTGACATGAACCTATGGATTCCACAATGGACTTTTATTGGATTCTGATAATTCCATAATGGAAAAGGAATGACATTCATTTAAAATCTACTAAAAATAAAAATTACCAACTACTAGTAAAATAATTCAATTGTTAAGTGATCTGTAGTAAGCTTACACCATAACATTTTCATTTTGTGATCTATAATTTAAACACAGGTGGATTATGGGCACCCCAGTTTGTTGAGTTCCTATGTCTGGTAAGCAATAACAGCAACTGCAGTTAAACATATTCTAAAGTTGCAGACTAGATGTAGAAGTGAGTTTGGAGCTTTTATCTAATACGCAAACTTCAAAGAAAATAAGCAACTTGTCTAAGGGTCACTGATTTTTTGGCAGAAACCCAGGTCTTGACAAACAGATCCAAGATTTTTCCAGCAAGACTTATCTAAAAATGAAAGTGAAAATCTTTATATAGTCACTTGCACAGTGCAGTATTTTCCTTAAAAAATGAAACTAGAAACTTCCAGGGCCAAGATGGCTGAGTGGGTTGTTGCAACAATGGAAGACTGACTGAAACAGAAGCAGATGGAGATTTTGCAACCTTGAATTTCAGAGGATAGTACAGAGGTGGACTGAATGCTGACTGGAAGAGGAAGCAGAACTGGAACAGTGAGATTAAAAATCGGGTGGCCTGTAGGCTGACGTGGAGGGGTGTAGCTATCTTGAACTTTTTTGAGAGGCTGGTGATACTGTGGCCTATAGGCATAGGATGTGGCTGGAGGTTGGTGGCAAGGGGTACAGTTCTCCCAGTCCCTGCCCTTGCCAACCCAACAGCTCATAAGCAGCCTCTGATTTGCTGGATTTTGGGCACCAGGCATAGTGCCCCTGCTTCTGGAAGCACATTAGCCCACCCTGAACTAGGGCTACAGAAACGCTGAACAGAAAATGGCATTCACACTTCAAGTCTCTACCACATTCACCAGCAGACAGGAGACAAGTACCTGAGAACAAACCAATATACAATCATCAATTAAATACAAATACAACAATATGATTGTACAAAGTCATAGAAAAAACAGACAGTTTCAGCTTACACAAAAAAATCAGAGACAGTACCTCAAATAAGTGACCGAAATACAGAGTCAGTACATAAAATATCAGAAAAGGTAACGGAACTATAATAAGGAAGTCAAAAGAATGTTACTTAGGCAACTTCAGTGGATTGAGAGAACTGAAAATGAAATCAAGGAAAACAGACAAAATACAGCAGAATTCAAGAACCAAACAGACAAAATAAATAAAAGAAAAAAATGGGAACTATATAAAAACAGCAATTGGAAAACCAGAAGATTAATGCAAAAACTTTAGAAATATATAACACACTGAAAGGGCAAAGAACTAGAACTGAATCAATGGTAAGCTGAATTACTGAACTTGAAGAAAATTTTCAACATTAATCAGCTGAGGGGCTATAGGAAAAGCACTGGACCACAAGGTCAATTTGAGCTGCGAAGGCGATGGTTCGAACTCATCAGCCACTTCTTGGAAGCCCTATACCAGGTCAGATCCACCACTTGTCTGTCAGTATTTTTTTTGAAACTTAGAACAAGTTTAATTTGACATGTTAATTTATATATGCCATTATTATGCTGCATATTAATTTGGCATTTGTGCCTCCCTTACTGTTTCTCTTTGTGAAAAGAATGTAGACTGATTTCATAACTTTACCTACAACAGCTCTTTTGAAATTTCAGTTTCTCAGATAGCACCTCAAAGTAACATTGTGGGAAACTAAATGGTATATTGAGAAGCCCTCTTTGTTGTTGTTAGGTGCCATTGAGTCTGTCCAACTCATAGCGACCTTATGCACAGCAGAACGAAACACTGCCCGATCCTGGGCCAACCTCACTACTGTTGCCACGCTTGAGTCCATCGATGCTGCCACTTGGCCAATCCATCTTGTTGGAGGTCTTCGTTTTTCTCTGACCCTCCACCTTACCAAACATGATGTCCTTCTCCAGCGACTGGTCCCTCCTGAAGTATGAGAGACAAAGTTTAGCCATCTTGGCCTCTAAGGAGCACTCTGGCTTCACGGAGCTATTGGTTCTTTTGGCAGCCCATGGCACTGTCAATATTCTCCTCTATCAAAAGCATCAATTCTACAGTCTTCCTTATATTGAGAAGCCCTCTTAGGTAAAGGAAATTACAGCTAGCCACTCCTTCTCCCTTCAAAAGAAAGTTACCTAATTCTTTTTCAAAAAATAATGTAGTATGCTTTCATTGAGAAGTTACTTAATTCTTACATATCCTTTGATTTCTATACCCTGACTTATCAGTCTTTTCCAGTTAGTTTAGTGATCAAGAGAGAAGTTGGCTGCAGTGAACTCTCTCAGGAGAGAAAGTCTAATATATAAGGTTCCCACATAATCTGACCCCTATTTAACTTGCCAGCCTTATTTCTTGCTATTACTCAACTCTGGTTATACTGTATGCCCCATTTATACTGAATAACTTTTAGTTCAATGTGTCAGTTAGTTTTACTGTGGTGGCATGTGAGTTGCTGTGATTCTGGAAGCTATGCCACCGGTATTTTAAAATACTATCAGGGTCACCCATGGTGGACAGGTTTCAGACGAGTTTCCAGACAATGATAGACTAGGAAGAAGGAGTGACAAACTACTTCTGAATACTGAGTCACTAAAAACCTTATGAATAGCAGAGAAACACTGTCAGCTATAGTGCCGGAAAATGAGCTACTTAGGTTGAAAGGCACTCAAAATGCGAAAAAGCTGCCTCCTCAAAGTAGAGTTGACCGTGATGACACGAATGGAATAAAGCCTGTGGGAGAAAAGCCTGTGAAACCTTCATTTGCTGATGGGACACAACTCAAAATGAAAAGAAACAGCTGTAAACATCCACTGAAAATTGGAACATGGAATGTATGAAGTATGAATCTGGGAAAACTGAAGTTGTCAAAATGAAATGGAACGCATAAACATTGATGCTTTAGGCATCAGTGAGCTGAAATGGACTGGTATTAGCCATTTTGAACTTGATAACCACATGGTTTACTATGCTGGGAATGACAAATTGAAGAGAAATGGTGTTGCATTCATCGTCAAAAAGAACATATCCAGATCAGTCATGTAGTACAACGTTGTCTGTGATAGGATAATATCCATATGCCTAAATTGAAGCCCAGTTAATACCACTTTTATTCAAATTTATTCACCAACCACTAAAGCCAGTGAGGATGAAATAGAAGAATTCTACCAACTTCTTCAATCTGGAATTGATCAAACATGCAATCAAGATGTATTGACCAGTATTGGTGATTGGAATGCAAAGGTTGGGAACAAAGAGTTAGGATGAGTAGTTGGAAAATGTGGCCTTGGTGATAGAAATGATGCTGGAGATCACATGATAGAATTCTGCAAAATCAATGATTTGCTCATTTCAAATACCTTCTTTAGACAGACTAAGAGATGATTAAACACATGGACCTCACCAGATGGAATACAGAGATATCAAATTGACGACATCTGAGGAAAGAGACGATGGAAAAGCTCCATATCATCAGTCAAAACAAGGCCAGGGACAGACTGTGGAACACACCATCAATTGCTCGTATGCAAATTCAAACTAAAGTTGAAGAAAATGAAAACAAGTCCACGAGAGTCAAAATATGATCTTGAGTATAACCCACCTGAATTTAAAGATCATCTGAAAAACAAATTTGATACATTAAACACTAAAGACTGAAGACCAGAAGAGTTGTGGGATGACATCAAGAACATCATACATGAAAAAAGCAAAAAGTCATTAAGAAGACAAGAAAGAAAGAAAAGGTCAAAATGGATGTCAGAAGAAACACTGAAACTTGCTCTTTAGCGTAGATATGCTAAAGCAAATGGAAGAAATGAGGAGGTCCAAGAGCTGAACAGAATTTCAAAGGTCACCTCGAGAAGACAAAGTCAAGTATTACAACAAAATGTGTAAAGATCTGGAGTTAGATAACCAAAAGGGAAACACGCTCAGCATTTCTCAAGCTGGGGTAACTGAAGAAAAAATTCAAGCCTTGACTTTCATAATTGAAAGATTCTCTGGGCAAATTACTGAATGATGCAGAAAGCATCAGAAGAAGATAGAAGGAATACACAGAGTCACTGTACCAAAAGGAAATGGTTGATGTTCAACCATTTCAAGAGGTAGCATATGATCAATAGTCAATGATACTGAAGGAAGAAGTCCAAGGTACATTGAAGGAATTGGCAAAGAACAAGGCACCAGGAATTGATGGAATACAAATTGAAATCTTTCAAGAAAGTGAGGAAGCACTGAGGGCACTCACTAATTTGAAAGACAACTATCTGGCTGATTGATTGGAAGAGATCCATATTTGTGCCCATTCCAAAGAGAGGTGACCCAAGGGAATGAGCAAATCATTGGACAATCTCTGTGATATCTCAAGCGAGTAAAGTTTTACTAAAGGTAATACAGAAAGGCTGTAAGCATACATTGACAGAGAACTTCCAGAGGTTTAAGCTGGATTCAGAAGACGCTATGGAATGAGGGATATCATTGCTGATGTTCGATGGGTCTTGGTTGAAAGCAGAGAATATCAGAAAGATGTTTACCTATGCTTTATTGACTACTCAAATGCTTTCGATTGTGTGGATCATGACAAGCTATGGACAACATTGCAAAGTATGAGTATTCTTGAACACTTTGTGTTCATAAGGAATCTGTACATGGACCAAGAGGCAGTTGTTCACACAGAACATGAGAACACTGAAGAGTTTAAAATTAAGAAAGGTATGCAACAGGGTTGTACTCTTTCACCATACTTATTCAACCTGTAAGCTGAGTAAATAATCCAAGAATCTGGGTTATATGAAGAAAAACGTGGCATCAGGATTGGAGGAAAACCTTGCTTGCTGAAAGTGAAGAGGACTTAAA